AAAAAGAATCAATAAATGACTAAACCCCAGAAAACTCACTTTTGAAGCCAGGAATTGAACCTAGGGCACCAGTGTAAGAGGGTAAAACCTTAGCAACTGAGCTACAGCAAGAGTCCCCAACCCCAGGGCAGTAGGCTGGCTCTGGTCCATGGCCTACTAGGAACCAAACTGCACAGCAAGAGGTAAGTGGTGGACAAGCGAGTATTACCACCTGGGCTCTGCCTCCTGTCAGATCAGCGGAGGCATTAGATTCTCATGAAAGCATGAACCCCACTGTGAACTGCACATGTGAGAGATCTAGGTTTCCTTCTTCTTATGAGAATCTAATGCCTGGTGATCTAATGTGGAACAGTTTCATCCCAAAATCATCCCCCACCTTCCCTTGTCTGTGGAAAAATTGTCTTCCATGAAACGGGTCTCTGGTGCCAAAAAGATTGGGGGCCACTGACCTATAGTGCAAGGTGGCTGCTGTTATTTTTTTCCAGGAGGATTTTAGAGCATTTGCAAGCTTACAAAGGATTTTAACTGCTCAAGAGAACTTTCTAGGACTAGCCATGTTATTATTACACATGCTTCTTTTAATTTAGCCTTGTTCCTTTAATGGTGTACTCAGTTCCAGTAGTGACTCAATCTAAAAGCCTGTTAAAGTCCAGATAGTAATTTTCCAGAGTTTTACCATATAAGCAAAAGGTATTTCCCGAAAGGGGTAGAGGAGGCATCTCTATGACAGGCAGCTCTTGAACTCAAAGGGCTTGCAATCTTGGGGGTGGAGGTAGAGAGCAGTGTCTTAATTAAGTGAGCACACAAATAAATAGATAATTAGACATAGTGGCCCATGCCCTAAAGGAAAGGTAGAGGTACTATTAAGACATGTGGCTTGGGGGCCTGACCTGGGATGAATGGTTGAGGAGAGGTTTCCTAAGGAAACAACATTTGACTTGAGATGTGGGCAATCTGAGTAGGTGATAACTGGGTGAAGGCCTGAGCAAGGTGGATTGGAAGCCCATTCAGTCAGGGGAAGCAGATTAATCTTGTTTTGACAAATAAAGTTCAGAGAAGCTTTGCTGTAAAATATTGCTTACTCTCCCAAATGTGGAGGAACAGCATAGTGTGGCAAAGACGCAGGCTCAGATTCGGAAAGCCTGGGTTCGAACCCTTGCTCTGCCATTTGCTCTGTGTTCTTAATTGCCATTCTCTGCCTCAGGCTCCTCACCTGTAAAACCTCATGGGGTTGTGGTGAGGCTTAAATGAGTTAATGTGTAAAGCACCCAGGGCCTGGCATTAACCTTCTCTGGTTTATTACATATCAGCTACTGATTTCTAGTGTGCTGCTCTATTAAGAATAAAAGTCTGATCTTTTAATATTGGCAACAAGAACCAGTGATTTTCTCAAAGATCAAAGAGTTAAAGAAAGGTTTGAGCTCAAAAGAGCATTAAAGAAATCTCTAAGTAATTTTTCCACCAAAATCATTGCTCTGTCTTCAAGGAGTTCTCATGGTACATTTGAGTATGTAGGGCTGACAATGGGTATCTTCTATTCATGATATTCATGTTTTTTAGAATTCGTTTGAAGATGGTTTGGGTATGGCTCTGAGTGACTCAGGTTTAGTGCTGAGATTTGGAATCTTTTAAGGGTTACTGGCTCCCTCCTAGAATAGAGTGAAGCACGGTTGCTGCAGGATGTCTTTCAGTTGATTTCAACTTCACGGTCGCATTGGCAGCTATGAGCATTTATCCAGTACATGTCAGGCATTTTACCGGTGCTGTAGCACAGTAACAGGACACACACATAAACAAGACATATATGGGGTTGCCCTTTAGAGTCTGCAGACTTGAGCTGGTGACAGACATAAATTAATCATTACTCCTCCATGTGGTTGGTGAGCTTCTGGGGGAATGTCCCACTGCTGAGTGTTGTTTTCTGGGCAGAGGAGGGAGCACAACCAACTTCCTGGGGAAGGCAACAGATGTCCCAGATGTGATGAACTAATGTTAGGACATGCCATAAAGGAAGCCCTTTATAACCCTCATCCATGTACGTGGGGCAAAGCGGGTGGCATGGAGCAGGAATGGGGTTTTGGTTATGTTGAGAGAGGTCTGTGTTTTCATTAGATGTTCTTCTGTTGAACGGAAACTATATGATTCCTGGTATATCTGGCTCCGTGTAATTATTATCCACACTGTTAAAATGAGGTTCAAAAATGGAAACTTAAGAGTTTCCAGTTCATACTGATTCATCATTTACCATTCTTAGGAAGGTAGAAGCTCAGAACTTGAAATCTCCTCTAAAGCCCCAAACTCTGTTTCTGACTCTTAAGTTATCTATGTAAAGGAACTTCCGTGGTCATGTTTCCTATTTTTCAAATCACTGTTATCTACATTATCCTATTTGATCCTTTTAAAGTGTAATCAATCCCTTTTAATAGCAAGGAAACCGGCTCATCAAGATCAACTGACTTCTCTGTGTAAGTGGGACCTAAGGTATAAACCTCTTTGAATAGCTTGACCCTGATTTACCAGGTAGAGGATTTTGTTGATTGGAATGCGATTAAGGAATGTCTTAGGTAATCAATTTATACCAATTAAAATGGCTACCATAGGTACCAGATGTCCCAGCAGAGCTGGGTGGGGTACCTTGCTGTTAATGCAAAAAAGAGATCTTTCCACTTAGCAGATTGTGAGGTGGAATTCCTTCAGTGGCATGGTGGCCGGGGATAAAGACCACAGCTGAGATGCAGCAGTAGGTGGGAACCCAAGACTAGTTGCATTGTAACTCCTTAGAGTCAAGAGTTCTGTTTGGCTAAGAAAATTTGGGGGTATGATGTGGAACAGTGAATCCTTTTCCAGGGGCTAGTAAATGCAATGAAAGGAATACCACAGAGACAACATGCATATCAAACACATACTTTTGCCCAATGCACAGCCCAATTCTCATTCTAGCCACACTGCCCTGCCTTTAAAAAATTAAAAAGAAAAAGAAAAAGGAAAAGTTCACCATGGGCCAGGCACAGTGGCTCACGCCTATAATCCCAGCACTTTGGGAGGCTGAGGTGGGAGGATCCCTTGAGCCCAGGAGTTTGAGACCAACTTGGGCAACACAGTGAGACCTCTCTACTACTACTACTAAAAAAAAAAAAAAAAAAAAAAAAAAAAAAAAAAAAAAAAAAAAAAAAAAAAAAAAAAAAAATAGCAAGCGTGGTGTGACATGCCTGTAGTCAGCTACTCAGGAGGCTGAGAGAGGAAGATTGCTTGAGCCCTGGAGATCACATCACTGCACTCCAGCCTGGGCAACAGAGTGAGATTCTGTTCCCGCCCCCCACCTCTCCCTCCCAAAAGAGCAGTGATTCTAATTTAGGTGGAGAGATGGGGGAAAATTTCAGGCTGGATAGCCTGTAATTTTTTGTTTGCGTGAAACACACAGGTAGTGGAACGTCTAGGGTTGTAATCTCAAGGGCATCCTGCAATCATTTGCTTTTTTTCTCTTGAAAAGCAACTTTCATCTAATCTTTCCTTACAGCCAATCTAAAGTAGCTCCCAAGTGACTCTCCAAACATGACTTTGTTTTGTTTCGTCATAGCACTTATTGACATCTGGTATTTTCTTATTCATTCATTCATTTGCTTCTTTTTCCCTACCTCTTGCCACATATAAACTGCAAATGAGCTGGGACCTCATCTGTCTTTATCGTTCAATGCGGCATACCAGTGTCTCAAACAAAGGCTGCTCCATATAGTCCTTCACTATTGGTTTTTTTCAATGAATGAACTTATCTTGACATGATTTTCTGAATTTTGTTCTTTTATCTTAAGATTGGAAAGTTGAGAGCAGCATGTTTTGCCCACTGAAACTCATCCTGCTGCCAGTGGTACTGGGTAAGTAGAAGCCAAGGGATTGAGCAGGTATTTGATTTCTCCTAAGTTCTGTGCATTATTAAAAGCCAATTTTATATATTTTCAATTCCTCTGGGTTTTTTGAAGATAGAAACCCTAAGGTGGAACTTCACAGTCTTGCTATAGCAGCTGTTTTTGAAGCCAGCTAGCTTATGGTTTCTTGGGAAGCTGAATCTTCCTGTTTCCATTAGAAGCTGAATGCCTTTGGGTCCTAAAGGGTGTTCTGGGACTCTCTTACGTAATAAAAGGAAAGTTCCTCGGAGGCATTCCTGCACTTTAAATTGTTATCTTTAAAACCACAGTTCATCTTTGATCAGGAACGGAAATTACCGATGAGAGACCCAGAGCTGTTTTCATGCTACTGCCACGCCAGCCTTCTTGCGGTTCCTCAAACACACTGAGCTCTTTCCCAATTTGTGGTGGTTTTCTTTGCCTGGGACTTTCCTCTTAACACTTCATCCCAGCAAGTCCGCCCAAGGCTTCCTTATCCTTCAGGTTTCCCCTTACGCTCCATTTCCTTCTGAGGAGGCTGACCTGACCATCTCCTCTGAGCAGATCAGTCTCCTGTTTACGCCTTCACCTAAGTGCTGCTTCTTGTCGCTCATCTCCATTGCTTTCTAAATTTTCATTCTTCTCCCTCATGCCTTTTTCTTTATCCTGTGGATGTAGTTCTGGAAGGAGAAGAAATTAATCAGTGCTCTGTTCTCAGAGCCTTTTGTTTTTTTCTTTATTATTATTTTTTGAACTGTGGACGGTGATTTAAACCCTGACTCAGCAAAGTACACAACAGGGTTGCCTTTGTGCCTATTCCAGGAAATACAGAGTGTGCACAAACATGCACACATGCACACATACACACCAAAATGGTGTGCATTAGAGAATTTTTCTCAGAGAAGCAGGGTTGGCCGGGTGTGGTGACTCATGCCTATAATCCAGCACTTTGGGAGACCGAGGCAGGCTGATCATGAGGTCAGGAGATCGAGACCATCCTGGCTAACACAATGAAACCCTGTATCTACTAAAAATATGAAATAAAACAGCTGGGTGTGGTGGTACGCCCCTATAGTCCCAGCTACTTGGGAGGCTGAGACAGGAGAATCGCTTACACCTGGGAGGCAGAGGTTGCAGTGAGCCAAGATCTTGCCACTGCACTCCAGGCTGCGTGACAGAGCGAGACTCCATCTAAAAAAAAAAAAGAAGCAGGGTTATAATGATCTCAGACGGTATTTAGACATTTTCCCAGAGGTCTGCGGAGCAGCCTGCAGGTTTTTGCCTTCCGATCCAGAGAGCTACCAGTCCAGCCCCTGTATGTGGTAGCTTGGTGGCACTGGGGATTTTGTAGTTCTTTTGTGGTACAGTTTTCCCTTTCTTGCAGGAAGTCGCATCTTCTTCAGCTGTTTCTCTATTAAGATGACCCTTCACACATCAGTTTCTGTTTGCTTTGGTTGCTGTTGTTGCTTCCTAGCCATTCTTCATTTAATTCTACATACCGTGTTCTTAATATTAAATTCGCTTATTATACCTTCAACCACATGTGGAGTTGCTCAATTCTTCCTTACAGGAAAATTCCAAATATTTGTTGGAGCTGCTTTTGATTTCTTTCAAAACAATTCCCTCTGAGGGGTTTAGAGTTGATGTTTTCTTTTGTGTCCTCCCTGCTATGTGAGCCTGCTGTTGGGCAGGAAGTTAACTCTCTTTTCCCAGGGAAACAGCTTGGATGAAAAGACTGGCACATTTTCTATTCATTCCCATCAGTTGGCTCTTATCTGACATGAACTGGGCAGCATCTAAATGTGTCTTTCTTGATTTTGTTGTCTTTCTGCATAGAGCATATCTTGTGAAAACAGAAATATCCATGTAATGGTTTTCTCTTGTAGTGACCTTTTGAAATTGCTTGAGCAACACAGAGATAATGGACAGGGGTCCCTGGGTGAAGCACCTAGAGGCTGGAAAGCTGATGGCAAAGCTGGAGCGTGAGGCAGGGAGGGGACAAACACAGTGCAAAGGCAGGAGGACAGCTGTGCTCTGTATTGGCCTAATTACAAGGACTTGCACTACAGCCAGAATCAGCCAGCAAATGCAGAGATAAGCTTTTGTAAAGAAACTAAAAGAAAGGGAAAAGAGGAAGTAAAGAAAAGATCTCTTTTCAGATAGGGAGCCAGTTGGACACTTAAGAGCAAGGAACATCCCATTTCCTGTTTGTGGTAAGTGGATGTGGGTGTCTAACTTGATATTCAGAAAGGAGATCATTAATCAGAAAGGAGAGACTTCCGGGTTTCCCTTCTTTCTTTAGAAAGGTTCCAGAAAAGCAGAAGGGACTAGATAGGAGGAGAGAGCCAGAGAGCATTTGTTGTAGTGTGAAGATTGCAGAACCGTTCTGACAAATCATATAGGTAACTAGTGGACGGGAATGCCATACTGCCTTTGAACATGGGGCCTCTGAGGACTTTGTCTATGTTGCATCATCCAGGGAGAGGGATGTTTAGTACCCCATGATTGAAATTGATTTTTGTTGTTGAGGGTATTTGTCTAAACGATATGTCCTCTTGCCTTTGACTCTATAGATTATTCCCTGGGCCTGAATGACAAGGTTGTTTCCTCCCGTGAGCTAACAGTCCATGTGGGTGATTCAGCTCTGATGGGATGTGTTTTCGAGAGCACAGAAGACAAACGTATGATCAAGGTAGACTGGATGCTCTCATCAGGAGAGCACGCCAAGGTAACTCGGGGAAACATCACTGTGTAGTAGAAGCCCCTGACTGATGGTGTCAGGACAGAGTGGTGTGAGAGTCAGGCGTCAGGTGCCGCCGGGAGGTGTTGCAAGGATGGGGGTTGGAGCTTACCAGAACTGGGCCTCCTCCTAGCTCAGCCACTTGGCTGTGTTATCAGCTGGGCAAGTAAGTTACTCAATCTTGCTGATCTTAGCCTCCTGAGCTGTGAAAAGGAAGGCAATTACAATAATGGTAATGCTTACCTTTCAAGTAGTTAAGGGGCTAATGGGAGACACACACATGAAATGGGAGGTTCCTTGCTCTTGCACATGAAATTCTTTTAGTTTCCTTCCTTCATCTCTACCTTTGTTAAGGGGCAGAAGCGAGTGAAAGGGGTAAATTCCTGGGTTCTAGAAATGAGAGCTCTGACCTAGGCGTAAGAACTGTGCCACAATGATCTTTTTTGAGATGGGAAGGAGGACAGATTCTTTCAGTGCTTCACTGCTCCATTTATGTAGTGGGGAGTCATCTCCTTTGTGGCTGCTTGAAGTGTTGGGATTAGTAGATGCAGCGTGGTTAGGTGAGGGTCTTTCATGGAGCTCTTTGGAGTGGGGAACAGTGTATTAAGCCTCATCAGAGAGTCTGTAGAGATTCTCGTATATCAGGATCATCTGTGAAAAACGTCCCAAGTAGTTTGTTAATAACATAAAGTCCCAATGTTTGCAAATAAAAGATTGTTTTTGTAGCTCAGAGCATATCCCCTGTTGTCCCTATAATGCTACCTCTCACTCAAATTTTTATTGCCCTTTATTTTTGTAAGAAGGATAGGCCCATGGTGTAAGTAAAAATAAGAATTTCTGCTGGGTGTGGTGGCTCACACGTGTCATCCCAGTACTTTGGGAGGCTGAGGCGGGTGGATCACTTGAGCTCAAGGGTTTGAGACCAGCCAGGGCAACATGGCAAAATCCATCTCTACAAAAAAAGACCAACACAACAATTAGCTGGCTGTGGTGGCATGTACCTGTAGTTCCAGCTCCCTGGGCGGCTGAGGTGGGAGGATCACCTGAGCCCAGGAGGTCGAGGCTGAAGTGAGCTATGATTGTGGCACTGTAGTCCAGCCTGGGTGACAGGAAAACAAGACAAAACCAAAACCAAAAGCAAAACAATTCCCCAGGGCCCAGCCTGTGAGCGTTCCCTGTGGATGGCTCCTTCTTTGTGTTATGATACTGCTGCCAGGAGGAGGGCAGAAATAAGAGGAACGGCAGCCAGCCGGCCATCCCTAGAATTCTCACACCAACACCGCCCACGGCACTAGTGAAAATAGATCGTGCATTTGAATGCCATCTAATCTGGGGCTGTGGCAGAAAATAGAGTGAAAATTCGAGATGGTTTTCAATAGTTGTAAGTTTAAAACGGTAGAGTGATCTTCAGAGTGGGTGCTGTATTTTACCTTAAACTGTAAGAAATAAAGTGTGGACCGCATTCCTCCATTTGTCTCTGTAGAAAGTGAGTTGCAGAGCTTGTGCCAGTTAGACCGTTGCCTGGCACATTATTAACTGGGCACCAAGTGCTTTTGGATCATGATCATGATGTTGGCTCTGCTGCCTCCATGTAACAGAGCCTTTGGGATCCAGGTTCCTCGGTCCAGCACCTGTTTTGATTTTCTCCAACACTGTTTTGCCCTCCAGGATGAATATGTGCTGTACTATTACTCCAATCTCAGTGTGCCTACAGGGCGCTTCCAGAGCCGCGCATGCTTGGTGGGGAACATCTTACGCAATGATGGTTCTCTCCTGCTCCAAGATGTGCAAGAGGCTGACCAGGGAACCTATACCTGTGAAATCCGCCTCGAAAGGGAGAGCCGGGTGTTCAAGAAGGCGGTGGTTCTGCACGTGCTCCCAGAGGAGCCCAAAGGTACACAAATGCTTACTTAAAGAGGGCCAAGGGGCAAGAGATTGTATGTGCAGGACGCAAGGAAACTGATTTTCCTGAGCAAATGCCTGCCTTTGGGCTAAGTACTTACCACAGACTGAATCTTCAATAAATGATCACAATTATTTCAGTCGATAAAAATGTTATTTTATTAAATAAAATATTGATAGTTATTTTATTATTACTTTAAACATACTTTCTCCTGACAAAAGCCCCGTGAAGGATGTTTTGTTCACATGCGTCCACATGTTTTGGATACGTATTCATTAAATGGTATAGCTAGTACTCGAACCCCGGCACCTCTGACAACAAAGTCCATGTTCTTTTTACTATGCCCTAATACCTTTCATCAGTTATCCGCATTGATGCTACATCTGTATTTTATAGGTGCCCTATGTTAGGTGTTCTTGGGGGTATAAAAGAAATGAGCAGGCCAGGCACAGTGGCTCATGCCTGTAATTCTAGCATTTTGGGAGCCTGAGGCAGGAGGATTACTTGAGTCCAGGGGTTCAAGGCTGCAGTGAGCTATGATGGCACTACTGCATTCTAGCCTGGGTGATAGAGGAAGAGGCAAGAGTCTATCTAAAAAG